CTCCGGCCCAGCATTTCTGCTGGCAAGTAGCAAGATCTGGCACAGAGCTTTCTATGCTGGAGCTCTCTGGAAGCAGTTTCTGGGGGAAAAGCACTGAGGCTGAAAGAGTATCAGCAGTGCTCCTAAAATGTCAGCTTGCCACCTAGCAGACAGGAGGCTAGCATTATTCCAAACCCTATGCAGAAAGAGCCGCCAAAAAGCAGGTGTCCTTCAGTTCCCAGTTCAGACACATGAGAAGCCTGATGTGAATACTTGAAATAATCCTTACCTGAAGCGTGAACAAAATGGAGGTAGACAGGGCAAAAATGAATCGCTGTTGATGAGAACACCTGAAGGACAGCTGACCCATTTTCCCTCCTATAATGAAGTGTATTTGCCTTGAAATTAAGAATGGGGAAAATCCAGTCTGTATTTAAAGACGTGCAACGCCCACAAGTCTGTAAACACTCTGCAACATAATCTCTCAAGGACAAGCATACTGCACAAATAATCTTACATAAAGGATGGATATGAATAAAATCCACAAAGACAGAACAAAGAACCTTTATGATAAAACAAAAAATATCTGATAAAATAACTTCTCTCTGACCACTAAAAGAACTAAAAGAAGCCCTAAACTGCTGCAAATTCAGAAAGGGGACAAACATGGAGCCTAGGGCAACAGCTTTCAGACTTTCCTGCCTGGATTCCCATTTATGGGGGCTTAGCTCAAGTAAGACACAACTCCAGTTCTAGAAAAGAGAATAGAGGTTTCAAAGTACTGGGAGAAAACAAATAATCTTCCCCACAGTGAAAGACTTCTCATCTGACCAATTTCACATCATATCATTAGTTACATTATCTGAATCTCACCTAGATTACCTCAGTGTGAGACTAGCCAAGTCTATTCACCCTATGAATTCTTCCATGGCCATCATAGATGTACAAGATAAATCAGACAAAAGAAAACATCAAATTAGCTGTCCAGGTATGAGAGAGTATGGCGGGGCTTGCTGTTTGTTTTAATTATTTTTACCACCTTAGTTTCTATTGCAAACAATCCAACTTTTGCCATGTAGTATGTCATAACCACTATTAAAAAAAAAAAAAGTCAAGAGGATATGTTAAACACCAAAGATTTAAGTTTAAATTACGGAAAATGAGGATGAACACACTGATACAGGCTTGCAACTTTAAGTTTTAAAAGGCCCCTATGGTGGGACTAGCTATAGATGGCATAATGCTAACGCAAATGGAAAATATTAAAAAAAAAACAAAACCACTTTAAATAAGTATGAATTCACACCATACATGTGTACATACTTAATAATTTTACGTAAGCTTTGTTTGAACTATAAATCAAATCTATACTACTAAAAAGTCGGTATGTGCAACATTAACCCGATTAAAGCATTTTATAAATACAACCTTTTTAGTATTGCAACATACTTCACTACTTAAAACATACTGAAAAACAAGTTCTACATTTAAAATTCTGATGTAATAGTTCTATCTGCTAATTAAGACTACAAATGGAAAAATACTTGCTAATCTTTAACATTATCGAAAATGCAAATATATTTCATTTTTGGAAGAAAACAATCTTGTTTATACTACTGGTACTTCTTTTGACATTTGAAGATACTACACTAATGAAATACAAACTTTGTAGTAAGCTTACAACATGTACTTCTCAGAGGCAAAAAGAAAAAATCTGTTTTGTATTTATGAAGGAACATCCATTTATTATAAAACAAGATAAAAGATATTAGAATTAAGTTTAAACAAGGCAACATTAGAACAACCACTTTAGAGCTCTGTGAATGAAGTGAAGTTTTAAACTTGCAAATCAAGGTGAACGTAGCTCTTAACATGCTGTCCTCTTCTCTATAAATGGGATGAAGTGGAGAAGCAAAGCTTCAAGGTGTAAGGGTTGGAGCCGTCTGTCAGGAGAAAACACATAACATACTCAGGGCGTTTTACTGTATGAGTATGAGCACAGGTGCATAATCCGACAAGTTTACCACTTCTGTAGATTTGAGGCTCACATCTCCCCACCTATCCTTGCCAGTGGCCCGCAGACACCAGATGACCTGTGAGTAGGTGTTATCAATACTCTACCGGCATTTTTTAGGCATAAAAACAAAGTGACAGATGTGTGCGCAAGGGAATGGAGACAGAATTCTAAATGTAGTACTATACCTATGAAAGAGTTTAATTGCCTTTTGCTGCCCCTCTTCCTAGCTGAACTATTTATAAAAGTAGTATTTAACAGGCAGTTTCAAAGACAAAAGGCATAGAGATTTAAGGAAGTCAAGACTTAGAACAAGGCACTTCTATCAAAGACAGACTGGCACTGGACAGTATTTAATGTGTTGACTGAGAAGAGAACAGCAGGACGTCCAGCACATAAAACAGCCCCCTCTCTTTAGGAAGGCTGACAAGACCCATGGATGGCAGCACACATTTGCCTCTCAGGTAATGGAAGCTATGTCCTCCTGGTTCAGCCACCCTCAGACAATCTTACTACAGCAAGTCTAAACCAGCAGCCCCTGTTTTAAAATAGTCTTTTCCTGTGATAGCTATATTTGATTCTACATTAGGGTTTGCTTTTTTCATGTTGAAAGAGTAAGTTCTTCAGCTGTTATCACCTCTCCAAACTGAGATAAATCTGAAATTGTGAACAGTTATGTTATCAATAATATCTTAAAAAATATGCTGCCCCTGCAGTAATGTTGGCTCATTATTGAGGTGTACAAACAGGGGTATGTGGGGGATAGGAAAGATTTAAACTGTTAACACTTGACAGGGAGACAAATTCATACTACTTTGGAGAAGGTAGCTTAAAGTAATGTTAGACATTGTGTTGGATTCAAAGTTACACCTGTGAGCACCCAGAAAATTCCATTTAATCCAGTAAACAATCTTGTTTTTCCAGTGCAGTTCTGGCCTATTGTGTATTTGTTTAGCAGGTGAACTCCCCCTCCATTCTTACTAGTTTGGAGCTAAATTCAGCTTGGCCTCACAATTTCTGATCTGAAAGAGAACCCACTATAGGGGCAGTTAACTCTGAGCAGTAAGCTGCATAACTTAAAAGAATCTTCTGCCCAAAGATATTGCAGATTTCTCAGCACTTACTGTGAAAGATACAAAAAGCCTCAGTGAGACATTATCCATTAGGTTTGATCTTGACAACAGTGGATTTTAATGCTTTTCTTGCCTGCCCTCTTTTTATCCCAAACCATTTTTTTAAAATCTTTCTATAATTTCAAAGTTGTGGAGCACATTTAAAGAATGCCATTTAGATAGAAACCAATGGAACCTAAACTAGAGATTAAATTCTGCAATATATATACTATTTGTATTCTGTATATATGTCATATATATAGTTCAATAGATGTATATCTATAAATACAGCATATAAACATATAAGAACACAGTTTTTAGCTGCAGACTGAGCTGCTGAAGCCTCACCTTTTGCAAAGACAGTATCAACATGACAGAAAACAAGAATAAAATTTACATCAGCAAGAGCACTAAAACTGACTTACTTGGGACTCTTATCTGGTAGTGATTAAGTACAGTGAGAGCTTCCACTGCATCTGTCTTACATTCCCATTCCAACAGACCAGACAGTGTTTTGGCAGAAGCTGTCAAAATGAGAAATAAAAAAGGGAAGGTGGGGATCAGTAACATCTCCTGACAGTGTATGCTCTTATCAAAACTGGAATTCAGATAACTTCCCAAACAGGTCAAAGTTTACTTACGTTTTGGATCAAACACTTTGTATTTAATAAAGCTGAGAACTTCATGATCCTCACATAACTGTCACAAAAATAAAATAAGATGTAAAACTCCAGTAAAAATATACATAAACACATTAGCAAAAATTCCAAGCTCCTGGAAGAGACACACAAAAAGGAAAATACTGACTCTTTAAGAGAGCTTCCAAAAATTTACGGCAAATTATTACTTTAAAAATGTGTTTAGATGGGTAAATCTTTAGAATATCACTCTGCAGCATGCAAAACAAGGCTTCTAGACCTGTGCTGTCCCATGATAAATACGATTTTATAGGCACAAAAATTGTTCCAATATTGATATCACTGCTACCCCAAACAACATATTTAATTAAAAACAAGGTCTTCTTTTTGACATTCCCAGTTCAATACAGTGGCTCAAAAGCTGTACATACAAGCACACCACTCATGAACCAGAGATAACTTTCAGATAGAGCCTGAAAAAAAATCATTTTATTGAACTGGAAAAGAACTCACTGAACTGTTATCAGTTTTATCATTGCCTCCACTTGAGAGGCCCAGCATTGCATGTTTTAAGCACTCAGAGTTCATTCAGGACTCAAGTGTGCAAACAGTTCCAGATGCATGTTTCTCTCCATTCCAAAATATCCTAGCAGTCATTAGATGAATCATCCCAGGGAGTCATTAAATCTTTTGTGAATTGTAAGTCTCTTCCCTATATTTGGCTTTGTGTAAGTCTTTTCCCCTTCCTCCACAAAAATCACATTAAGCTCCTCAACTGGATTTCCAATATCTTATTTCTCACGTAAAAAAAATCTAAAAATTATTGAGAGAATAATGCCAGAATTGTGAATAATATGCCAGCTTCTATATAGAGGGGCTACAAACCTATTTCAAAAACTAGTTCTCTTCCAGTCTCTATGCTATAGCTATCACAGTTACTTGTTTTTAGAAGTAGCACCGTGCAAAGCTAGGAGAGACCCCCAGAGCACCCTATGTCCCAGTCATTTCAACTGCCTACCTTTACAAATGTTTCTTCAGTTACACACAGGGGAACATTATAATAATGCAGCACACAAGAAGGTGGTTGGATGATGTTCTTAGATGCTTGGCCAGCACTGGTGAAGCGATTATTCTTACTCATTGCAAAATCCTTGTAACTACTTGTGCCATCCTCCAGTTCAAATATCTGACTTGGAACTACTGAATGTTGCTTGGAAACACTGGGATTTAAGGAGATATGTAGGAAGGATGGATAAGACATTAGAGAATACAGTTTATTAAAAGCCAATCCATGGCCCACATGCTTTAATAGAAATAAAATAATAATAAATAATATTATAAATAGTAATAAATAATTAAATAGTAGTTGCAAATTGGAAACTGTAACTCCAACAATGATAACAGAACAACGGGATACTGTCTGTTTGCAACCTTATTCCATCTGCCCGCTGCTAGACTAATCTGATAAAACATATTTACCAGACATTAAGTCTCTTTCCAAATAACTTGACATTGTTGAGATGCGTGACAGCCCTTTCCACTGCATACTCATCACCCATTTCAACCAGTGCTGTGCCTGGAATAGTTTTCATAAATTTCACCTAGGATAGATGAGGGAAAAAATGACATTGCAACAAACAGCCCAACCAAAAGTTTTGCAAGGAAGTATTTTTAGACCACCTTAGCCAGGTGCTTTCCAAAACAATTAAGATCACTATAGTAGTTTCTAAGTTTCTAATAAATGATGCCTTACCTTCTCAATGTTTCCATACAAGCAGAACAGGTTGAAGACCCTTGAACAGTTCATCTTTAGCTGATGCAACCCACTAACCATGACAACTGACCCAGAAGGATTTCCACCGTGCATGTAAGAGGAGGATGCCTGGGGCAACGGATAAGCAACAAGTTCTGGAGTGTCCCGAGATCCCATTCGGTACCGGCTTGGCAAGGGCAACAAAGGACCATGTGACCCTAAGGAGATGATAGAGCATGCTTTCATATTGTTTGAAACAACTTTCACTACTTAATCATGCATTAAAGCCCACAAACGTACTGCGTATTTAAGGAGGGGACAGGGGGAGAGTGGGATGGATGACAACCTTACAGCAGTTTCCATTAATTCTTTTTCTAATTACACAAAACACACAGACAAAAACCAGAACACACAAAACCCCTCTCTTCTATTTCCCTTTAATGCTCCAAGTCTCATCTTGCATTATCAGACATGAAAGGAGCTTTTTGATGGTACTTTTTTTGATGGTGCTGTTTTTATACACAAGTGAAAAAAGGTATTTCTCTAATTATGAAAATAGTATCTTCCCTGCACTATACAAAATACTTGAACGTAAACCTATCAGAAGAAATATAAAATAAACCTTCAGCAATATTGCCATGTCTGCTATAGAGCTGCATGACACCAAGAAATAATATTGCAAAGCAGGGAAACAAATCAAAAGGAGTGAACTTTCAGCTAGAGGTTGGGAAAGGACATGGCACAGCTCCTTTCCAGAGACAAGAGTTAAAGTCAGAAGACTGCCTTTCTACAAACAGTTCATTTTAAAGCAGCAATACTTAAAATCCTGCATTAATGCAAAATGAAGCTGTCTTGTTTTTTCACTACAGGTAGTGACAAGTTTCACTGAAATAAACAATTTCTGTTGGTTTGGGTTTTGTTTGATTTGATTTAATGAAGAGACATTACCAGTATGTAATAATTCTGTTTATGGAAAACATCAGTATTACAGACCAAGAAGAGGATCCCTGTTCTTCTGAGACAAAAACAATGTGAAATTCATATATGGCAAGTATAAAAGGAACCTTTTGTCCTTTTTACTCAAGAAAAAAGCAGTAATGAGAGTGAGACAGTAGTATAGGAGAAGACAGCCACATTAGTTAAGGTAGAAGGCTGTATCAGAAGAATGAAAAAAGAACTTCAGTGAATAGCGAAAATTCTGGAGATTTAGAGAACCTTTGGAAAGAGCAGGTAGAAGGTCAACCTACACTGTAAAATATAAATACCTTTGCAAAGAAAAAGGAAAGACAAATAACACTGGATCTGACAGTTAAGAGCAAATATCTAGGAAAGTCACATCTAACTGGGGACATTGGTTTCTCAACCCTGAGGTCTTGGTCCAGCACATCAAAGCAGATCTTCACTTACAGCTAGCACTGGTAACAACTGCAGCACTTTACTAATTCCAAAACATCTTTCTTCTGCAAGTCACATTGCTATGCCTCTTCAGAATTTGCTGAATTAGAAGAAACGCAAAGCCCACAATTCACAGCTCTGCACTGAAGAGCATCAGAGAGTTTTGCATTGCATGAAACCATTGATTGAGCTATGTTGCCACCTTCTAGAAGAAAACCACTTTCCCAGTATAGATGAAAGGAAGAGGTACAGCAATAAATGCCCACAGATTTCAGTGAATCACCAGCATTTTCAGAACGTGGACTGACAGCAACAGGGGTCCACAGTTAAGCATTGATTAAATATTTAGAATTCCACTTAACATGTAAAGAAATCATAACCACCTGTCATCTTATGTTACTTACCATAACCGTCATGTCTAAATGATGATGGGTGCTCTCCCAAAATAGCTTGCCTCTGGCGGCCCTTCCCTCTGTCTAACATGCAGGAAGGGAAAGAAAACAGTTTAGTATGCACAACTACTTGATTTCTCCAGTTAAGACACAAAGCTTCTAGTTAAGAAGCAAAAAAGTAATTTGAGTTCTTGTTAATTTTATAAACAATTTTCATTCATTATACATCTAAAACCACAAGCTGTAGCCCTGGGACACCAAAATTAAAAGACTGCCATCTGTATAACAAATTGCACTTAAGTTGACTTTGGGCAGTGGCCAATGAGGAGATGCAGACATCTATAAAGTTTATGGAAATACCAAATAGTTTTCCTAAACAGACATCACACATTAGTATAGATAACACCATACAGCAGGATTTACCCATGTGTCTCTTAAAACAAATTTGAAATGCAGTACTTTTGAAAGACAGTACCTGAATCATAATATTAGCTTCAACAGCAACACATTTTCAAAGTGGGCTTCTTTCAAGAAGTTTCAGCATAAGCCAACAACAACCTGTATTACATGGTTTCATAATCAGTAAACAGAGAGCATTACATATGTGTACATATATATTTACAGAACACCTACTGATTTAAGGGCGTGCTGAAAGGATTGTACATTATTGCATTACCAGCAGCACATAACAGTTCAACTGACGGAAAACATCACTGAATAATGCACTTAACCAACGGTCAATCCTTTAAGAAAACCCAGCTCTCTAGCTTATAAAGTTAAGCAAGGGAGTCTACATTACTGGAGGAAAGCAGTGCATCACAGCCAAAGCTGCATTTTGTAGTCAGATCCATGTGGCATGACCAAGAAAATGTAAACTTCCAGATTTCTTTGTGGCAAGCAACAACTGATTTCTCACACTTAAAAAAGCTATATTGAAAAGATGGGGCAAGGCATTTATCAGTTTACGACAGTTCCCAGGAAATGTGAGTATGACTGCTGAAAATGGCAACTCCAGCCCAATGCAGCTGGAGGTATTTCCCCTGGAAAACAGGAACTATTCACATTAGACAGCACAACAGTGGGAGATGAAAACACAAATGCCCTTTCTGCTCAGGATTCTGAGGAGATGTTCCAAGTCAGATATTTACTTTGGCAATAAAGCCTGAAGAGAGAACAGTGCTGAATGCCTTCAAATATATCCAAGAGAGATTACTTTTGTCAAGTTTTGTTTTTCCATTCCTTTTTCAGGGTAACAGCTCTGGTTCTTGGCTCTAGAAAGCAAATGAGCAGCCATATCAAGCATTCTGAGCATTTAAACTGTATGCAGAAATCATCTTTCAGATAAACCAAGTTTATAATTCCAGTCTGTGGAGCTAAATCCTTTGAAACTGCACACAGTAATATAGTAAAGGATTATATCCTTCAAATAAAGGATTCTGGGAAAACACAGTTTCACAAATATTTCCTCCTCGTCATAATGTATGTAGTCCATTGTCCTCTTTTTGCCCCATACTTGTTCCTTCCTTGAACAAAGTCTCTCAGTTGTGCCAGTACAAATACTTGTGCAAACAGGCACTGAAACATGAGAACTGCTCTGTGTCAAAAATAATTCTGAAAGGAAAGATTCTTTATAATTTAGTTGAAGCTTGGGGCTTGTTGGTTGTTTTTTAAAATCAAGTCCTTGAATCACTGCACATGATGGTATTACCACCAAAAGAAATGCTCCAAACTACACTTTGAACTTTCTGGCTAAAAGCAAGTATAATACTAAGTCAGGTGGTTTTTTTCAGTTCCATCTATTGCAGTATGGGTTCATAGCATCAGGCACTTGTTAGAAAGTTTACTTGGAGAAATATCATGAGGAAGTCTGTAATTTGTTACCATAAAGAATTAAACCTAGTTCTTTAAAAAAAAAATTAGCAAAATGGATTTCCTTCCTAAGACTTGAGGCAAGTGTGAAATTCTGAAAGGATAAATTCAGAAATAAATAAAATTCCTTTGGGCTAAGATCTTATTTGCTCAGTCAGATCCCTACAGTTTGGGTCACATTAAGTACAAAAGCCAAACTGCTGCAAGAGTAAGCTGAAGTATAAATACAAAAACTCTCTCTTTCTCAAAAAAAAAAAAAGGGGGCAAAATATGGGCAAAATGCCTGATTTCTCAAGTACACTTCAGTATTAATTCAACTTTTATAATCCCATTTTCTAGATAAATGGACTTGGGCCACAGTAAATGAAAAATCGTGCTATATACAATATAGCATTATATATATATATAGGTATATAAAAATTCTTTTCCTTTCTTGTGTAGTAGTAGAGTGATGTATAGAAAATAGAGACAGGCTGTCGAAGTAAAAAAAGAAAAACAAAAACAGTGAGAGTTCTTGAAAAAAAGGCAAGCCATGTCTATCCAAACTTTTTCATTTTCCACTGTTTTCTCTAGCTTGGGGAACTTTAGCTCATACAGCCATATCTACCTGTAGACCAATTACATAAAGTCAGTAGATGCACATTGTTACAAGTCAACATCCAAACGGTGCAATGATCAACAAAAGATACGAGTGTCAGATTAATCCTTCAGATTTTTCAAATTCAAACCTTCAGAGATGTCTTTCTTGCCCTTGAGTTTCTTCAAAATCCTTTTTTTTTTTAATCCAGGAATTTGACCAAAAAATGGAAACCTGATACAAATAGTCATAATCTACAAGCTGCAACCAATACTGTAGCTCCCTTGTTAACTTTTTACAAGAACTTCATTTTGAAAATTCAAGACCTAAGCTTTCAGTTGTACAACAGTTTTACAAGCCCAGCGTCTCTGCAGAATTACTTTGAAAGTGCGTATCACTTGAGACAGCCAAAGCCCTGGTTCTTATATAGCCTTTGAGAAGTAAATACTCTATCTTGGACACATTGTCTTTGCTTTTCTAACTTTACATTGCAAACAGTATTGTACATAAGTTACTTAACACTGCACTAAATAGTTACAGATATTTTTTTTTAATAAACACTTTACAGGTGTTAGGCTATACAGTAGTTTGTCTTTACATATATAGTCATAGTTTCCACTGACATGAGTTAAGCTCTGGCAATTTTTACAGCTGAGTACTTAAGAGACAGTATGCCTGTACCAATTATGAATCTCCCTGTCTTAATACTTAAACATAACTGAGGGGATCTATCTGGTATTGCGCTGCTCAGTTCCAACTATCTACAGATAAGGATTAAATTTCCCTACTACTAGACAATATTTACACTGTTAAGACTGAATGCAACTCTCACATACAGCAAGTAATAAAAAATTACAACGTCAATGATATCAACAAGAGAGGTTCTTAACTTTGGAGGTTCTCAATTTTTCAGTTGTAATTTTAAGGGAAATAAGACCAGCATACATACAAACTTGAACAGAATGGGTACAGTCTACATGTTATTCATCCCATACAAATCTGAAGTACTGAAAGTGTCCTCCTTTAAAAACTTGTGGTGGTGGTGCATGCAGTATGCAGACAAGGTGAATTGCAAGTCTGAGTTTTTTCAGAGGGTTTTTTTGTTTGTTTGTTTGGGTTTTTTGCTGATGCCGATGTGGTGCATGATGAAGTGTAGAGTCAGCCTGCTGAAGTCCTCTATCCTTCTTAATGCCTTGTCCAACATAGGGGAAAAGAGTCCTGTCGAAGGAGAAGCAGTGGGCTCCTTGTTGAACTAAGTGGCTCAGGCACACGGCAGTAGGGGGCACTAGGGCTCAGGGTTAATTTCCTGGCTTGTGAACACAGCCTTCAGCAGCACTGGCTTGCTTTGAAATGACTATTGCGATACAGCCTGACCACGCATAAAGGATTGTCATTAGTACAGTTAAACATCTACAGCGATAACGTATGAAAACCTACCTCGTCGGCCCAGATATGGCTTAGTGTAGTCCCAACTATCGTTGTCGTTTCTAATGACATTAAGTCTAGTCGGCTGTTCAAATAAAGTAAAAGTGAAAAAGATTAAGTCTTGATTATAGAATTTGTTTTAGTAAAATTTAAGAAGAAGGTCCAAGCATTACCCTTGCATATTCAATTTTTAGTGTGCAGCATCCTGCATAGATATCTGCTCCATTGAGTGCAGCCTTCGCCTTCTGGGCACAAAACACTGATTCAAACATAACACATCACGTTAAGGATTTTTTTCCCCAGGTGTCTCATTCATGTCCTGTTCTTCTGACATGGCTTTATTTTTGTAGCCTGCAGATACTTCACTATTGCATACTGTACAAGAACTCTACACAGACTTCAATACAAAATTATCAACAAGTATATATGAGCTCAGCTTATGTTAAGCATCTCTTTTTGAGATGTAAGCCACACATAATGAGACCATTCATACACTATAAATTTTTTAGTGTGGATTATGTAGGTGCAAGCTTTCTTTATGCTCTGAGCTTATGCTGTTTGCAGGCGATATTGTGGTGGATTTAGTAATATTCATCAGAGGACACAGAAAGTTACCAGCAAGCCCAGAGCATATTCAAAGGGCAAGTCTGAAGGGAAAGCTCAAGCTGCATTGTTTGGGAAGGGATCAGAGCTTGGGGGCGAGAAGGCATGACTTAGGGCAATGCATCGCTTCCCACAGGTAGCGTTAGCTAGAGGCTTGTGGGCAGGGAGGACATGAACTCAGTAGTTACTTAACAGAGAAAAGAACCAAGAAAGAGTACACCCTTTTTAGCTTGTTAGCCAAATAAAAGAGCTAAGAGAGATACTTTGAAAGAACAAAGAATCATCTTGAATCAAAAAAATTCAACAAGCAGACTGCTTTAAATCCACTGCTCAAGGCAGACACGTGTACCAGGCTCCAATGTGTAGGTCACTTCAGATCCGCTACATACTCCAAGATTAGTTCTATGACTAGCAGAAAAATGACGTATGGTGTTAGGAAGCCTGAACCTTGCAGCATACAAGACATTTTGAGCCAACCTCTGATATAATTTAGTGAAATTTTATAAGTAGTCTGTATCAATAGCACATCCCTTGTATTTTACCACATTCCTGCAGCCCGACTTTTTCCAAGGTGATGTAGGTCCACTGCAGAATTTAACAGCGAGAAAAGTTAAGCTTCCCAGACCTCTAAGAAATTGTTTGACACTGGCTAGAACTGTGAGAGCACATCTCAAAAGCAATGGGTACGGCAATTCACACTGAAATTTGAGTAAATTTTTGAACTTTTCAGACAAGACTTGTCTCGAAGCTCACTTTTTTACCCCACACACACTGTTTACCTACCTTGCTGCATTACCTTGCTCACATTTGTGAGTCTTCAATTGTTAGTTGGTTTTATTTTTAATAAAAGGTATGTCACAGAATTTAATTCAAAGGACAGAAGTGTGGTCATTTCAGAGTATGCGCAGAATCCCCTTAACCACTCTAATCTTTCACAGGATGCATAATAACCTCCAGCTGTACAAGTAATCTGATCCAGACAATACCGCTTACCACAGACTCGACCCACTATCACAGTAAGTCCAACTACTGTCTGTTAGGACACAGAGTTTAAGTGCTCTACATAGATAAACAGCAATTAGTTTGCTTTTATGGAAGGTGGGGTAATTCTCTTTGCCTGGCCGCCGGTTAAGTTGTGCTATAGAACTAAGCCACTAATAAAGTCTGCCATATCAGTAGCATCTAAAAATCATACGAGAATTTCTGAGATTTTTGTACGATTTTGTCTAGGTAACAGCTCACAAATGGAGGGCTATCAGTCTTCAGGAAAAGGGCTATCAGTTTTACAAACTAAGGCATAACCATATCAGACTCTGGACTTTGCAAACCACAGTAACACATTAACAACTCATAACATTCATCCCATGTACAACTTAATGCTACAAATAGAGTAAACAGTAGGATAACAGAGCAGGGAATTTCCTCAACACATGATAAACAGGTCAAGGAGGCCTAAGTTGGTCTCGTGCTTTATGAAAATCAGAATAGGAGAACAAGCAGTATATTAGAACTATTTTAAAAGAGTCTGAGGAAGTCAAACTGCACCTCTGCAATCTTTTACCCATTTCTTGAGTACCAACACAGGCAGAAGCCATGAAACTTTGTGTATAACACATTGTAAAATCTATGACATGTTCCATGTCTGTAATTATTAGCCTTAGGGCCGCCTATAAACATCATTATCAAGATGACTGTCTCCTATAAAGATGAAATCGTTAAGCGCTATTTTGTCTTACAGACATATAGAAATTAGAAGTTACCATATCTTAGAAATTTAAATATATTTTGGTCTCAAAATTACACAGTATTTTTCTGACATTCTCATGTTAAATCCCATCTGCAGTCAAGAACCTACAGGAGAAAAAAAAAATCACACTCAAAAAGGATATTCAACCATAGCTTGTATTCCATTTCTCTTGAATATAACAATGCGCTGAACTTTTCCAACAGGGTTGCACACAGTATACAAGACATCCTAAGGAAGAAGAAAAAACTATTTCAGTCACATGTAAAACACCTTAGGTCCACAGAACGTTTTCTTGCATTGGCATTTAAATGCCAAAGAGCAAAGAAAAAGCTTATTAACTTTTTATTTATAATTTTCACTACACAATTTATACATTCATGAACAGCATTTTTATGGATTAATATAGTACAGGTAGTCAAATCTGAAAAAAAAAAAAAACAGGAAAAAACGTCTGTACAAATTACTCATACAAACATTAATGACTTGGATGAGGGAATTGAGTGT